TCGCTCTCTCTCTCTCTCTCTCTCTCTCTCTCTCTCTCTCTGCTTAGTTTGCATGTATATATGCAAGTATATGTGTGATATGCAAACAACATGACTTTTGAGACCTACAGAATTTATCAATAAGATTTTAATTTCTTGATTATGTGGCACAGGAAAAAAATTCTCGTACGGGTCAAAATTTTGTCATAAATGTGACAGCATAATCAATGACCCTGGTTAAACCAGCTGAACCCATCAGAATTAGCAGTTTGAGGAGGGATAGAGGGAGACCTAATAGAACTGTTTTAGAAATAATAAAAAAAGCTTTGGCTGCTCTTATTTTGGCTAGTTATATAACCCTAAATATATAACAATGGCAGTAAATCCATGTAGCTGACCCCAACTAGCTGGGACATTATGACTTCTTGTTTTATAATGAATGGTCCACAAGTTGCTAATGAGGATGTATACAAACTTGGTTATTTGATGAACTGAAGCCTGCTTTAATTTTTAGGTTATTAGTATTACTACATTTGAACACCATGCCTGTCCATCAACCCTATCCCGGATCGCTACATTTGAACATGTATCTTTAGATCGATTAAAAAACAGAGAGAGAACAACATTGAGAATATTTCTGGCTTTCATTTTACTTGATATGATTTTGTTACTTATGCAGCTCATTTTGATTTTCAATCTCACTGCCTTGAGATACTCTAACAGTGCTACCTCTGGTGGAATTTTGGACAAGGCAATTGAAGCCGAACATAGAAAGCATGGGGACTTCATGAGGCTGGTATGATTTGCTCTTTTTGAGTTTTTCTTAACACAATGCAACTTGTTATTATGACAAATCATACGTTCTCTGGTTAACTCACAATTGTCCAGTCATATTCTTCCATTTGGCAACTAGAAGCGTTTTCGATGTGATCAAGGTATACATTCTTGATCTCATACCATAAAATGTTTGCAGGATCATGTTGAGGGCTACCTTGAGTTATCAGCCAAAACTAAAGTATATTTTGCTACTGCTGTCTCCATGTGGGATGCAGATTTCTACATCAAAGTAGATGATGATGTACATGTAAACATTGGTAGGTAAAACAGAAATTTGCAGTAGTTATGTATATGTTTCTCTCTAGCAACATGAAATTTAGTTTTACAAGCATCTTATATCATCATAGCAAGTAAGTGGATTCGCTACTATAATTTGCTGCCCAATCTGCTTCCCGGTTCTCAATCAGAGCAAGCAACTTTCTCCAATCTAAAGAAAATACCCGGAGCTACATCCTGTTTATATTTAAATACCCTGCTTGCTTCCATTATTTCACTCTAGGTACGCAGGATGTGCACCTACATAAATTTAAACATTTACATGCACATCCAGAGGGAATCATTTGGGACGTGTCAATGATGACCTGCTTTCCCGTTCACCAGAGTCACATGCCTTATATGCTATTCCCCTACCCTTTTTTTTCTTCTAACTCTATAACTAGGAAAAGAAATATTATTGATGAAGAATTAGGAAAGGAACTGTCAGAATAACACCCTCCGATTGTGAAAAAAAGATTAGTGCCTAATGGTTCCCAGCTCTTACAATTTTTCTTTCTGTCTGTCCGCATTTTCTGGCCAAAGTCACCCATAGTTTCTCAAAAGAATGTGATAATATGAATTGGATTCTGTTCTCTTTGTGGTGACTGAATGATCCATATGATCGATTTTTCCATTTATTATAGGAGAATCTCGTACGCAAATTTGGAGAATTTTGAAATGGCATGTTACTCCTGTAACACTCGATATTGGCTGTATTCTTCAGAAAAGTATATCTTTCTGTCTAAGTATAAACCTAGTCTTTTTGATGGATTTAGTAAGTTTTTGAAATTTTGCAAGATGAAGATTGGTGATTTGGACTCTTCAGGGGCACATGCAAAAGCCTTGTAGCATAGAAAATTTGTTTGAAATTCTAGTCTTTGTTGTTGACATTGAAAATTTTGCTTCTAAATTAATCTGATATAGTTCTGGACTTTGTCTTATGTTAATTATCTTTCTGATACGTTCAATACGTAGGAGTATATGCTATGCAACTATCAACATGGTGTAAGTTTCAAAGTGTCTCATGATGATTTCATAATTTTATCTAGCTTTAGTTGCTAGCATCTCAAAATCAATCTTTATTGTCAACAATAGATTTCAGCTTTCTCTTGAGAAAACTTGATACTCTTGAAAACGAGCATATGACATTTTAGCCAGTGATTGTGATGGTGCTAATATCATGCTTGTGGTAAATGGCTATTGTCTTGTTGTCAAATGTGGTTATGTTGAATCATCAATTTTTTTATTTTAGCAACTCTTGGAGCAACCCTGGCCAAGCACCGGTCAAAGCCTCGGGTGTATATTGGATGTATGAAATCTGGTCCAGTCCTAGCTCAAAAGTAAGCATGTTTCTTTTTTTTTTTACATGATGATATTTGTGGTTGGCAAGTATGATATAGTATTGGTCTCAACATCAGCTGTTGTTATTCGACAGGGGGGTGAGATATCACGAACCGGAGTACTGGAAGTTTGGAGAGGAGGGAAATAAGTATTTTAGGCATGCTACCGGTCAGCTATATGCCATTTCAAAGGACTTGGCTACTTACATATCCGCAAACCAGTAAGTTGCATTTTGCGTGAACTTTTTGCTACATCTTTCCTGCGCTTTGAGTCCATATCTTCTGAGGTGTGCTACTAGTGTGGGAATGCCACATCTATCGTAAGAATAATATTCTGAAATTTGAACTATTTTAAATCAGACCTCTTATGGAACTTGTGATTCTCTTAACATTAGGCATGTGCTTCACAAGTATGCAAACGAGGATGTCTCATTGGGATCATGGTTCATCGGACTGGATGTCGAACATATCGATGACCGGAGACTATGTTGTGGTACTCCACCTGGTAAGTTATCAATACAGGAAGAAGCAACAGCCATGTATTAACCATCTTTTTTGTCCATTCACCAAATGTACTAGTAGACTTTTTTTTGTTTTGATCCAAGTCCATTATGCTTTCGTTTAACCTTTGGATTATAAGTTGTGGCTTCGTGCTACATGCATGTGCCGTTAACGTCGGCGGTGAATGTCGAGAGTTGCATGACTAAGAATTCTGCAGATCACTGATTGAGCTTGGACTAATGCATTAGTGCTATGCGCCGTGCAGACTGCGAGTGGAAAGCCCAAGCAGGCAACATCTGTGTTGCTTCATTTGATTGGAGCTGCAGCGGCATTTGCAATTCTGCCGAAAGGATTAAGGAGGTTCATCGGCGATGCGGGGAAGGCGAAAAGACTGTCTGGAAAGCTGTCTTCTGAAAGAAGCATCCGTTCGTTGTATCTGAACATGTAAGTATCCGACTTGGAAACAGGGTCACAGTGGATTTCTTCGAGTGAGGGGCTTTTTCATTTTTCTTTTATGAAAGGATTCCCAAAGCAGCAAGAAAGAGAGAGAGAGAGAGAGAGAGAGTGTGTGAGGGAGCAGCAGGTCTCCCCCCCTCCCCCACCATCACCATCACCACCACCACCACCACCACCACCACCACATTCTTTAGAAATAACTGATGGCCATTGCATGCTGTATTTTGTAACCCATGTTGAAGTTGTAATAAAGTGCTAATGATCTATTCAATAGATTTTCCTGTTTGTTGCTTCAAGATCACGGAGGTGCTTTCCCTTTTGATTCCTTGGGATGCAGAAGTGACCTGCCTCTCTCTTGGTAGTTGACCTGCAGAAGAAAATACAAGGAACAACAAGTCTCCGATTGATCGTTGTCCATAAACTTTACTTCGAAGGCAACTTGTTTGGACGAGTGCACCGATTCATATAATCAATGTACACTAGGATTGAAAATTGATAAGCTATGCAAGTATAACTAGTGCACATTAGGAGACCATGCCTCAAGAATCCAACTCTCACTCCGATTAAGATGACCGACCGACCACCTTGGCATTATTAAGTTCTTACTGTTTTGTTTTATTTTATTTTATTTTTTTTATGAAAAGAAAATTATATATATATATATATATATAGTACCGGTACGAACTGTGTTGACCTCGTTCATGTATAAAGGCAATGGTACCTTCATAGTTTGGCGTGTTCCTTAGAAAGAAAGAAAGAAAGACCTGCGAAGTCAAAAGTTCCGATGACTGCAAAATGATGTCAGAATTTCGACATGGATGATTAAGAATTCCGACATCTCGGTAAAGACGCACGCAAGGCCTCAGTAAAGAAGCACGTACCGGAGTGATCAGGGATGGGTCCTCGACGCACGCAAGGCCTCTCTTGCTTGCCGAAGAAGCATGTACCGAGGTTAATTATATTGTCATTTTTCTTTTTGGCTGAGGTAGGAACGAGAATAAAAAGAGTTATAATCTATGTTTTTTTTATTTTCTCTTGTTTATATAAGTTCATATCAATTTAATCGTAATAGATCATATCCTATTTCTTAAAATAATAAATCTCTACATAATAATCTCTAATTAGTTTTTATTCAAACATCTATTCCTTATAACGCCTATCATATGTGTGTGATCATTTAGACCCAATATCAAAGTAACCGTGAGTCATATATGTCAGAATTTCTTCAAATTCAGTAAATTATCATCTCTTATAATAATTCGCTCAACTTATCAATTACGAACGTACTAGGCCACTATATCACAATCCTAGATGATATAGAAAAATCTAATCCATTGGACGTTTATCCTCAGTTACCATGTATCTATAATTTATTATCCTTCTAGTGTTCCAAATCTAGATCTTCTTGATATCTGTTCGTAACACTTAGAGCATGCGCTATATCAAGCTTGGTGCATAGTATAAAATACATAATAGATCCAATCATCGAGGTATAGAGTATCCTATCAATGTTTGTCTTTTCTACATAAGTCTTTTGGGGCATACTCCTAGAAAATAATATTTCATATCTCATTAGTATGAGATTTCTCTTGGAATTTTTTATGTCAAACCTTTTGATAATGGTATCTATGTACCTAGACTGAGACAAGCCAAGCATCTTATTGGAACTATCTTTATAGATCCGAATCATCAAGATATAAGATGTTTCATTTAAGTCCTTTATGGAGAAATATCTAGATAACTAAATATTTACCATAGAGAGCATTTCTATATCATTCCCAATTATCAAGATGTCATTCACGTATAACAAAAAAAATATAATAGCGCTCTCACTTACCTTCCTGGACACACAATGCTCATCTTCATTCTTAACGAAGTCATAAGATCTGATCGCCTAATCAAATCTTATGTTCCAACTTTAAGAAGCTTGATTTAGTTTATAAATGGACATAAGCAATCTGCACACGTTATTTGGACTCTCTTTGGACACGAATCTCTCATGTTGTATTATACACATCTCCTCCTCGAGGTTATCGTTAAGAAATGTAATTTTCACGTCCATCTACTAGATCTCATAATAGCCAATAAAATTTGGATAGATTTCAACATTGCTATAGTTGTGAAGGTTTCGTCATAGTCAACATACCCTTTAGCCACTAGCCTTATTTTATCAGTCTCCATATTTTCATCTACTCTGATTTTCTTCTTGAAGATCTACTTGCAACCAATGGTATGATACTCTCAGGTGCATCAACTAAGTTCCAAACCTTATTAGAGAACATAGAATCCATCTCGAAATTCATGGCTTCTCGCCACTTTCTGAAGTCTATACTCATAATAACCTCCTTATAAGTTTGAGAATCAATATCTTCAACATCCTCTCCTATAATATGTCCCACATATCTTTTAAGAGGATGGGGTACTTTGTTGGACCTACGCAAAGTTGTAAGTTGTGTGCTAGGTACATGAATAGACTCAAGTTGTGGAATTGTGCTTGAGTTAGGTTCTTCAATCTCGCTCAATTTTATCACGCTCCCACTATCTCCATCAAGAATATGTTCCTTCTCAAGGAACACTACCTTCTTAGATACAAAGATCTTTTGGTCCTTGAGGTGATAGAAATAATACTCATAAGTTTCCTTGGGGTATCCCATGAACTTACACTGTTTCGTCCTAGATTCCAAATTGTCGAGGTTGTATATCTTAAAGTGAACGGGATAGCCTCAAATCTTAACAATCTTAAGATTGGATTTTTTCTCTTTCCATATCTCATATGGTGTAGACACGATCGATTTAGTCAGAACTCTATTCAGAAAGTAAGCAACGAATAGTAGGGCATATCCCTAGAATGAAATGGGTATGTTAGCGAAACTCATCATGGATCACACTATATCTAACAACGTGTGATTTCTCCCTTCTGATACACCATTGAGCTGAAGCAATCAGACATCACATGAGCAATCATACTAGAGGATCATGGACCACAGCCGAATATGATCGAACTCAAGCCAATGAGCTCAATCACTCACATCACAATCTATATGTGTATCATTGTATCTCTATGCATCGTGATCGTCCGTCTCGATCTCGTGGGTCCTATTGTCACCGCTCTTGCTGTGTCTCCTCGTATAATTACAACAAAATTACATACATGTACGCTTGATAGTAAATGAGAAAAAAATAAAAGCTCGTAGACTCCAATAGTAATAATAATAATAATAATAATAATAATAATAATCACATCTCATATACATATATCACATCACACAATTTATGATCATCCAACCACATCATAAATATTTTGTTAATAAGATTAGAATAAATAAGATTAAATATTTCACTCTCACGATGATAAAGATATTAATATAAATTTTTAAATTTAAAAATTAAAATACAAAAAGATCTGACTAAAAGGACTAATAGGTAATTAGGTCCGAGTGGGCGGTCTTCTTCATGTGGCCCAGCATCGTGAGTGCCGTCCATAGATTAGCTATTGCAGTCCACTAACAAGGACAAACCAGAATGGAAAAACCTGTCAAAAGATCCAAGATGATCCATGTGAAACGAAGGCCGCTCGACATGCTATGATTGCTTCCGGTGAACAGGCTCTGTCCACTCAACCACCACGCTTTGGAAACTGCTTATTGAGAATGGCCTGCTGCTTTCCTTCCTAGCGCTCTAAGCAGTTACCGGTTTCAGCTCTGCGACTCTGTCCGATCTGCTCGCGCTTGGGAAATGGGTGACCAAGCTGAATCCACTCTCATCTCCTCAAACAATCACCAAGTTTTCAGGGTGGTAGGCCTCTCCCTCAGGCTCGCAGCCATACCCCTGTGTGCTGCCTCCCTATGGGTGATGGCGACCAACAAGCAAGCCAATGAATCGTACGGAAAGGTGGAATTCAGCGACCTTCCCGGACTGAGGTGAGTGACTAGCGACGATCCCTTCTGTCCCGGTCTCTCGCTTCATGTTTTGCCACACAGGTACATGGTCTGCATCAGTGCCATCTCTCTTGGATACTCCGTCGTTTCGATCCTCTTCGCATGCCTCGGATGCGTCAACAACGACTGGTTCTTCTTCATCTCGGACCAGGTGTTACGATTAACTTGATCGCATCAAACGCCTTCGATGCGTAAGGCTTCTGATTCTTTTCCTTTTGCAGGTTGTGGCCTATTTGATGGTGACATCGGGGTCTGCGGTGGCCGAGGTGCTCTATCTGGCGCGTGAGGGCGACAGGAAGGCGTCATGGAGTGAAGCGTGCAGCTACTACGGGAGGTTCTGCGACAGGACGAAGGTGTCGTTGGCGCTGCACTTGGCGGCCCTGCTTTGCTTCATCGCTCTATTTCTGGTGTCATCTTACACAGTGTTCAGCAAGTTCGAAGCCCCTTCGGTTTCGGATTCTTCCAAAGGGGTGGGAGAATAGATTTGGGATGTGGTAGGTAATCCTGTAAACGCTTAGCCGTGTCGTCGAAACAAATCTAGTCCTAACCTAAAGTGCTTGGATATCCCTAGGCTTTCGTTATTATTACTGTTGAGTTGCTTTAGCAGAGAAGGCCAGACGTGGAGTTAAATTAGTAGCCCAACATGTCGAGATAGATAGATGATGGAAAGAAAATGTTTAGCACATCTTCGCTGCTTGCTTTCTCAAGGTTGAGAACCTCCTAATGAATCGATTTCCCTGGCTGATGCAGGGCCGGGGAAGGATATATTATGTCGTGTACCCAAAGACTCAAAATTATCCGTAAACATACGTGATTTAAATGATTTAGAAACAAAATTAGCACAATTTCCACAGTGTATGGTATGGCCATGAAATTCGATAATATTCCCCATGAATTTTATCTACAAGGATGCTAAACTTTCCATGATTTTTATCTACAAGGATGGCTCCTGCATCTTAGGAGGAGCCAAATGTGTTCTCTCGCCGCTGTAGAGGTCATGTAAAGAAAGAAAACCATCTTCGTCTTTGCGTTCGTCGTAGATGGCAGACATCAATGTAGCTGCAACAGCGAGTCATACATCAATGCCATGAGCTTATAGCAAAAGGAGAATACAAGCTGAATATGAAGTAGATCATTTCACCTGTAGGTGACAATGTGTTCTTGACAAAAACGAAGATGGCCTTCTCTGTCTGCACCCAGCTTAATCCTCTTCCGAAGGTGTTTGAAAACCACCCCTGCGACCCTATCATTATTTTCATGTCCACCAAAGTAAGTAAAGGTGAACTCTAATTTGTTGACGCCAAAAGAAAATTGATGGTCTCGTTTATACAACTTCCTACCGTAGAGTCATGTCATGGTACTGTCTTATCCTCGAACACAAGGCTCATTCTCTAAGGTGTTCCTGTGAATATGACATTTCTATATCGATCCACACAGTAAGAATACTTACAGACTCTGTGTATATGGAATCCTTTATATATATATACATATATATATA